TGTTCACAAATAAAGTTGAATTACTGTAATTATTTTGTACTACCACTGAAGGTTTAGGCAAAAATGAATGAAAAAGACACAAATAACAATAATAATGTGGATGATTTGGTGCTTCTGTACAATATAACGTACGATGATATCGTCAATACTTTAGGAAATAGGTTATCAACTTCAGTATTTATGAATATGTAAAAATTTATTAAGAACAATTTTTGCGTCCTTAAAAGATGCAAAAACTTTGAAGTCTTTTATTTTTTGAAAAAAATAAAATTATTTTTTATTAAGTAAATTTTTAATTGATAAGTAAGTTTTATTATTTAATTTTAGATTTAATGCTGGGAAAATTTATACTTATATTGGTGAAGTGTTAGTAGCAGTGAATCCATATCGAAAACTTCCAATTTATGGACCTGAAATGATACGTGAATATAAAGGTCGTGAAATTTACGAGCGATTACCACACATTTACGCAATTGCCGATGTGGCGCATCGTTCGATGAAGTGGCATGAACATGACGTCTGTATTGTTATTTCTGGTATGAAATTATGATAGATAAGACATTGAGTGATGGAAAACAAGTTCGCTCAGTAATTTTATGAAATGGAAATACACTGAAGCAAATCTGAAATTTTTAATTGTGCAAATCACAATTTGAATTAAAAGAAAAGCCTAAAGAAAATTTGCCCTTTTATTAATCTTTTATTAATTTGGATTTACATATCATAGTGAAAAATGTAGAAATTTATTGAAAAACTCACTGAAAGCCAAAACAAAAAGTGGCACTTAAATTGGTAAGTAACTTTTGACCTCAAAAAATCTTGACCTTTGTAATTATATACAAAAAATTGATGCACAATATGACTAACACGGCTCAATGAATCCGCATAGACAATAACTTCAGGTGAGTCAGGTGCAGGTAAGACCGAAACAAGCAAGATTATTATGCGCTATTTGGCTGCCATCACTAATATCGAGAAGCAGCATGAAATTGAAAGGTCAGCACTTAAATAATTGAAGCTTTTTCTTCTTTATGCATATGTTTATCGCTTGTCCTCAAATATGCAAATTGTTCTATTTTCATTAAATTAACAAGCGTTTAATTTGAGTTAGCATACATCTGAAACCTTGCATTTTGAGTGTACACTAAAATTATAAACTTATGACAGGGTCAAAAATATTTTACTTGGATCAACCGCTCTGCTAGAATCTTTTGGCTGTGCTATGACCAATCGCAACGATAATTCCAGCCGATTCGGTAAATATATGCATATTAATTTCAATTTTCGCGGTGACCCAATCGGTGGTCATATTAGCAGTTATCTCCTTGAAAAGGTTATTTTTATTTTTTCCTGCCTTAGCATTTTATAAATATTTTTTGTTATTTCAATGCAATTTTTGATCTATATGTAATAGGCATTTTGAGTATTGCAAAGTTTATACTATA